TTCACAGGTCGGCGCAACATCGAGGGCCGAAGGGCCTGTACTGCGCTGTAATGTTCTATGTTCTATGTTCTAAAATGAAAGCTAACTTAACACTTTCCTTCCAATGGCTTGCTATAGTTAGACGTTAACTTTCCACGTTTCTTGTAAAAAGACAGCCAAATCCCTCTGAACACTACTATTTAATAATTTCACATGTGAAAATGATATTCTGTTTTTCTATTTCTGTTTTTCCAGCAAAGTGTGCAATTTCTCAATTTCCGCTTCCCCCCACCCCCCAACCCTCCACCTAAGATGTATACTCATGTTGCTACCTTCTTGCCCACTCACTTGACCTGGTTATATTCCTTTGCAGGCTCTTTTTGTGCCTATCATAGGTTACTTTCCCAAATAGCTTTGTATCGTCAGCAAACTTGGATATGTTGCTCTCAGTCCCTTCAGTAGTCATTAATATAGATTATTATGATTTCAGCTGGTAGTGCTGATCCTTGTGTTTCCTGTGTGTTATATATCAGCACTATGTGTGTACTCAATAGAACAGGTTATAAAAACTTAAACTGTAGAATAGAATTTTTTATCGAATTCCTACAGTGTGGAAGTAGACAATTCAGCCCATTGAGTCCACAGTAACCCTCCAAAGAGCATCTCACCAAGACCCATCCCCTTATCCTACATTTCTCATGTGGAATGCAACTAGTCTGCACATGCCTGGACACTATGGCCAATCCACCTAACCTGCACATCTTTGCATTGTGGGAGGAAACCAGAAGAAACCTATACAGACACGGGGAGAATGTGTAGACTCCACACAGACAGTTGCCTGAGGCTGGAATCAAACCCAGGTCCCTGGTGCTGTGAGGCAGCAGTGCTAACCAATGAGCCACCATGCCACCCCTAAATATAATAGAAATAAATGAATATTTGACTTCAATGATGCTGCCTGTACTTTGTGTGAATCTGGTTATATTAATCCTTTGTTAAGATTGTTAACAGTAAAAAAGGAATCGAGGAGTTGAAAAGATAATACAATTATGAAGTTGGCTACCACGTACAGTGATATGGACAGTGAAGTTGGGGTTATTAAATGTGCTTCAGGACTGAGAAATGATTCTATAAGAGGATGGTAGGGGTTGTTGAAATCTCTTACTTAGGGAGACTTTCTAGTCATGAAAATTCATATTTAGTGAAACAAAATAGGGTTTCCTCACAGAGTGAGGATGTCCTGTGTTCAGCACACTGTGAGTTGACAACAGTCTCTGCTTCAGGGATTAAGAAGGGTAAGCGAGGCCAAGGTTCCTTCTCCTGATAGTTGCTTCTGTCAGTGTAGCATCCGTGCACAGATATGTGTCAATATGGAAACGTGTGTTTATACAGGTATTGCAAGAGATAAAAAGGCTGCACCCTGGCCTAAGCCCCCCGAAAGCATACACACAGTATCAGTGTTTTAAAGTAATCTGGAGAGTGAGAATTTGTTATTAAGTGAGAGGTCAACACTCGGTGATTTACCAGCACATCGTCTGTTAATTAAAGCTCATGGGGAAACTAATGTACCCAAGCTTTCAACTATACAACATATTCAAGGTTGCAGGGTGCAGTTTAATACAGCCTGAACTTTATCATTCTGCTTTCCCAGCCGGATAGTCAACCTTTGCTTATTCTTAGTCCTGTAACCCCCTTTTGCGTACTGACACATAAAACAGCTTACTCCTTTGCACTCTAGGGCCTTCACACAGTGTTATTGCTGAACCAATGAGAGATTCTTTTTAAAAACACATCAAGAGCTATATTTCGCTACTGGCCTGATGTGCCAATGGGTGCAAGTGCCCATGTGCAGACAGATCATGGTTGGGTGTTTTTAATGAAGGCGCCCTATCTTATGAGTCAAAACAGAGCACAGGGTCAGGCTAGGCAGAGCCATGGTCAACTTGCTGACATAGCTCATGTATAGAATGGCCATTAGACTCATACAGAGCAGTCTTTGGCCCATTGAGTTTGCACCGAAATGGTGAATGATGTACTGGGATGGTGTCTAGCACCAATACTTTGGAAACCTCTCCCACCAATAACTTGAAAGGTGCTGGAGGGGACAAGACTGACCGGAGGAGCCAAGTTCTTTTTCATTTGTTGCCAAAATTCAACGTTGCTTCTGACCAACATCAAATTGTTCATTGCTATCAGATCATCGGTGTTGACTGCAACATTATGAAAAACTCGATAATGACTGGGTACAATCTACACACTGCAGACATGCAATGTAATATTTGTACACCACAAGGCATCACATCTAAACATTTAATTTAACAAAGAATCCCAAAACTCCTGAGGTGGCAGGGATTGAAGTTGGAGTGGACGAGTTCAGTGAAGTGAGAGGTGATGTGACCAGACTGTGTTATGTTGAGGAAATGCAGCATTTGGTTCAAAGGATCTACAAATATGTGAAAAGAGAGGGGAGGAAGGGTAAACACCTCAAGCTAGCTATGAAGAGAGGTTGAGTAGATTAGGATTATTTACATTAGAAAGACGGAGGTTGAGGGGGGACCTGATTGAGGTCTACAAAATCATGAGAGGTATAGACAGGGTGGATAGCAAGACGCTTTTTCCCCCAGAGTGGGAGACTCAATTACTAGGGGTCATGATTTCAAGATGAGAGGGGAAAAGTTTAAGGGAGATATGTGTGGAAAGTTCTTTACGCAGAGGGTGATGGGTGCCTGGAACGCGTTGCCAGCGGAGGTGGTAGAGGCGGGCATGATAGCATCATTTAAGACGTATCTAGACAGATACATGAATGGGCAGGGAGCAGAGGGATACAGATCCTTGGAAAATAGGCGACAGGTTTAGATAGAGGATCTGGATCAGTGCAGGCTTGGAGGGCCGAAGGGCCTGTTCCTGTGCAATAATTTTCTTTGTTCTTTGCTTGTTCTTTGTTCATTCACTCCCTCCATCACCAGTTTAGGAAAGCAGCTCACCACCACCTTCTCCAGCATGGTTTGGAATGGAGAATAAATGCTAGCTGTGATGATGATGCCAACAGCTGAAAAATAAATTCAAGGATACAATCTAAATAGCTGGCATACAAGGTTGAAAGTTCCAGAATAGAGGAAAATTAGAAATAATTTCTACAACTGCTTCAGTTCCATTTCCTGCCCTCAGCTAGAGTTACCCTCACTAGTTGAAAGTTCAAAAATTCAGATCCTTCTTTCTAGAGGATCATAAATAACTAATATGCTTAAAATCACTGATGTTTGCAGTGGATTTAATCTCCACTAAATCGTTATTTTTTCCTGTATGTGATGGATAAATTGGAAACATAGAGTAGGCCGTTCAGTCTATCGTCCCTGCTCCAGCTCTCTGACTACTGCCTCTCTCCTGCTCTTGCCCCGTATCCCTGAAAGAGATTTCTTTTCAACTATTTATTCAGTTCTCTTTTGAAAACAACTTTTCAATGGGCTTCCACCATTCTTTCAGGCAACGTATCCCAGATCATAACAACTTTTACTGTGCAAAAACATTTGTCTTTATCTCACCTCTATTTCTTTTGCCAGTCATCTTTAAATCTCTGGTCACTGCTGCTCCTGATCCTGCTGGTTTCTCCTTATTTAATCAATAAATAATCTTCATGACTTTGAAAAACTCAATCACATCTCTAGCAGTCTGGCTTCTCTTGTCTCTCCATATACTTGAAGCGTCTCATCAGGAAGCAAGGTGGAGGGCACACCCCTGTCTATATTAATGGAGCTGAGGTGGAGATGGTCAAGAGCATCAAGTTCCTAGAGTGATAATCACCAACAATCTGCCCTGGTCCTTCCACGTTGATGTGATGGTCAAGAAGGCACAACAACACCTTTTATTCCTCAGGAGGCTAGGGAAATTCAGCATGTCCATAAGGTCTGTCACCAACTTTTATACAGATGCACCATATAAGCATTCAATCTGGATGCATCACAGCTTGGTATGGCATCTGCTCCACCCAGGACTGTAAGAAACTACAGAGAGTTGTGAACACGGTCCAGTACGTCACGCAAGCCAACTTTCCATCCAATTACACTTCTCAGAAAGATAGCCAATATCATGAAAGACCCCTCCCACCTGGTTATAATCTCTTCTAACCTCTTCCATCAGGCAAAAGACACAAAAGCTTAAAACACATGTACCAACAGCTTCTTCCCTATTGTTATTCGCCTTCTGAATGGACTCCTCAAATTTCAAATCTAATGTTGATTTTGCTTTTTGTGCACCTTCTTTGCAGCCGTAACTTTGTATTCCTCGCTCTTTTCTATCACCCTGTGATCTTTGTACGTTATGATCTGCCTGTACTGCAGACAAAACTTTTCACCGTACCTAGGTACATGTGACAACAATAAATCAAATCATTGATACAATGCCAGTAAGTTCCCTTTGCACTAGTCTTGGAGAATCTCAATAAAATAAGAACTTGCATTTGTATAGTGCCTGTTATGCCATCAGGAGTCCCAAAGTACTTTCATTGGAACTATATTACTGTTCCTTCGTTGTTGCTGGGACAAAACCCTGGAATTTCCTTCGTCAGCATTGGGTGTGGCTCCTATCTTGTACTGCAGCATCTCACAGAGGCAGCTAAAGATATTTTTACAAAGGCAGTTAGGAATGTGAAAGATATGCCAGTGTAGTCAAATATTCCCACAGTGGATGTAGGAAATGTGGCAGCCAATTTACACATAATTAAACGGTGAGCAGATAATCTGTTCAATACTATAGGATAAGGGTTAAACATTGACCAGGACACAAAGGAGATCTTACCTTGTGTTCATTAGAAGGGTAGCCCTGGAGTCCTTTACTACCTGTGGTAGGGTCTTAGTTTAACATCTTCCCTGAAAGACTGTGCCTCAAACAGTGTTGCATTCTTGTAATACTGCAGTCAGAGAGTCAACCTAGGTTTTGTGCTCAGATCTTTTGACATCCCTGATAAAGTGCGCTACCTCAGAAATGAAGGTTTGAACTGTTTGACTTTTGTTTCTCCTGCTCAGGTCTGGTTTAAGAACCGCCGAGCCAAATGGAGGCGGCAGAAGAGATCATCATCGGAGGAGTCGGACTCCCAGAAATGGAATAAAATTTCAAAAAATGCCCCGGTGGGGAAGGCTTCTGGAGAATCCACTTCAGCAGCCCAGGAGAGTGAGGTAGACTCAGACAGCTGATAGCTGGCACTGATTAATCAGGAGTATTCACCCACCCTCAGCTCAGACTGTGGCTGGTACCTTGCACTTTGTCCCTCTGGAGGGCTGAGGCTACTGTAAATACTGTACAAATACATATTATATATATGTGCGTTTTTGTATGTGTGCCTGTTTTGTTAATAAAACAAAATGTCGAGATTTTACTCAGATGAGACACAGTTCTGCTTTGTTGAAACAAACTTTGCATTCCAGGCTTGTTCCTGGGATGGCAGGACTGATGTAGGAAGAGAGGCAGGTCAGGATTATACTCATTGGAGATTAGGAGAATAAGAGGTATTTCATAGAAACCTATATAATTCTAAGAGGACCAGGCAATGCAGAAAGGATGTTCCTGATAATGGGGGAGTCCAGAACCAGTCTAAGGATATGGAGGTCATTTAGGACTGAGATGAGGAGAAATGTCTTCACCCAGTGGGGGAGTCTGTGGAATTCTCTGCCACAGAAAGAGGTTGAGGGCAAAATGCTGAATGTTTTCAAGAAGGAGTTAAATATTATTCTTAGAGCTAATGGGGTCAAAGAGTATGGGGAGAAAATGGGAACAGAGTGCTGAGTTGGATGATCAGCCATGATCATAATGAATGGTGAACAGGCTCAAAGCGCCAAATGGCCTACTCCTGCTCCTATTTTCTATGCTTCTACGAAGATCCGAAAATAAGCAGATGCGAATTTAATGCTGCTTGGCAGATGTCACAAAACCGTAGAAATTTACAGCATAGACGTCCTTTTGGTCCCTCCTGCTCGTGCTGGCTCTTTGAAAGAGCTTCATCCCACAATCCTGCTTCTTGTTTATATTATGCAAGTTTCTAACCCTGAAGAACCTGTCTAACCTCTTTCGCAAATTATTTGTGGAATCACCACCTTTCCAGTTCATATTCTAGATTGTATAACTAATGGTGGGTGAGCCCTGGAGTTTGCAATGCACAGCAGGGTACAGGTACAGGAGGTATGTTACAGAACTGAGAAACTAGAGGTCTGACCTACTAAGCTGGCAGAATATGAGGTCAGATCCCTCCTGGGCAGTCTAGGAGTCTGGGGTCAGCTTGGTAAAGTAGGTCCAGAAATCAAACCACTGGTGCGTAACACATGGAATTTTCAGATTGTCAAAAAAACACCATTGGTTTGGAGACGGAAACCCACTCTTTTTACCCACTCTGGACCTAAATGTGGCTTAGCCAGAGATATGAGTTCAAGTAACAAAAACAGAAATTGCTGGAAAATTTCAGCAGATCTGGCAGCATCTGTGGAGAGAAATCAGAGTAAACATTTTGTGTCTAGTGACCCGAAATGTTATCTCTGATTTCTCTCCACAGATGCTGCCAGACCTGCTGAGGTCTTCCAGCAACTTCTGCTTTTGTTTCAGATTTCCAGCATCCGCAGTTCTTTCAGTTTTTTATATGAGTTCAAATCCCACCATAGAAACTGAGGAATTTAAATTGAATTAGTTACAACTGGAGGGAGGGGGATAAAATCCAGCATTGGTTATGGCGACCATGAAGGTACCAGATTGGTTCTTAAGAGCAAGTTGGCCCTCCAAAGAAATCTGCCATCCACACCCAGCCTGACCAACCTGTGACTCCAAACCCACAGCAAGGTCATTGACTTAACCAGTTCACCACCACCTTCTCAAGACTAACTGGGTAGCATCAATAAATTTCAGCCTTATCAGGATGCCGTGTGAAGGAACCAAAGAAAGATGAGCATGCAAAGAGATTAGCTATTCCTTGCTCAATCAACCTCTTCCATGACTTTGACCTAAAGGACAGTCAAGTGGATGGCTTAAGATTTGTCTCTCTGCTTGGGGTGAGCTGGTTGGTTGGACATACTCATGACAAAACTGCTACCCAGGCCTGAAGCCCAATGATTGTCCATTCTCAGTTCAGGAGAATGTGTTTTAGAGATGTGCAGGACAGAAACAAACCCTTCCGTCCAACTAGTCCCTGCCAACCAGACATCCTAAATTAATCTAGTCCCATTTGCCAGCATTTGGCTCATATCCTTCTAAGCCCTTCATAATCATGAGACCGGCTTATAGTCCAACAGTTTTATTTGAAATCACAAGCTTTCAGAGGCTGCTCCTTCATTAGAATTCAGGTGAAGCCCCTGACAAAGGACTTTGCTCTGAAAGATTGTGATTTCAATAAACCTGTTGGACTATAACCTGGTGTCGTGTGACTTCTGACTTTGTCCACCCCAGTACAAAACTGGCACCTCCACACCATATTCATATACCCATCCAGATGCCTTTTAAATGTTGTAATTGTACCCTCCTCCACCACTTCCTCTGGCAGCTCGTTCCATACCAGCATCACCCTCTATGTGAATAAGTTACCCCTTAGGTCCCTTTTTCCCCTTTCACCTTAAATCTTTGCCCTCTAGTTTTGGAATCCCCTACCCTGGAGAAATACCCTCGGCTATTTACTCTATCCATGCTCCTCATCACTTTATAAACCTCTTTAAAGTCACCCCTTATTGTTGTTAATCTGGACTAGAAAACAGACTAATTTCTGAGCCTGTGTGCAATGGCTCTGAACAGACCTCTTTTGACTTATGTCATTGTCTGCATATGGAACTAACAGGTAGCAAATTAAATGTTCAGGCTAGGATTGTCAGTATTTGTGAATATCACAAGCAAATTCTGGACTGAATTACCCTTCCTCCATACCCAGGCTTCCAATAATATCCACACTGTGGCCTGGAGGGAGATCTGTGTTGCAGTGAGTAACCAGAAATTCCATGTATGTCCAACTCCGGGGCTTGATGAACTTGATGTGTGTCTGTAACATGACTGAACCAATTTGTTCATTGTTTGTGGGTTTCATTGGTTAGGCCAGCATTGGTTGTCTATCCTTGAATGTTCTAGAAAAGGTAGACATGAACCTGTCAACCCCTCCAACATACATTAATGGCAGGTAGTAGGAGTGGGAGAGATTGCTGATCATTTGGGTGATGGAAAATGAGTTCTGTCTACAAAATCGGTGGAAAAGTGTATGTTGATGCAGCAATTCAGACTTCCTGATGAAATTGTAGACACATTCCAACACCACAGTCTAGGGAAGCAGAGTCAATCCCCTGATCTAGACAGGGGGTTGTTGCTAGTTGTTGGTTGATGATCCAAATTGCAAAACTATTCCATATTAGTCAAATAGATTGGACACATCCTTCCTTCTTTACATTCTCAACACTATATTCTGCAGTTTTATGTAAGGTCTAAGGAACGAGCTCTGAAGAAAAGTCATATTGGGCTCAGTGTTAACTCTGTTTGTCCCTCCACAGGTGCTACCAGACCTGCTGAGTTTCTCCAGCATTTTCTGTGCCTATTTTAGATTTCCAGCATCTGCAGTACTTTGCTTTCCTAAGGACAAAGTAATCCATTTGTCTGGCACCACTCCCACTGCCTTCAACATTGACTCCCTTCACCATCACAGCACGAAGGCAGCATGTGAAAGATGCATTGCAGCAATTCACCAAGACTCCTCCAATAGCATCTTCCAAACCCATGACCATAACCATCTAGAAGGACAAAGGCAGCAGATATGCGCAAACACCAACATCTGAAAATTCCTCCCCAGACATACACCATCCTGACTTGGAAATATATCAGTGCCACTGGGTTACAATCCTGGAACTCCCTTCCTGGTGGGAATGTGGATGTACCTCTACTCCAGAGACTGCAACAGTACAGGAAGGCAGCTCACCACCATCTTTCCTATGGCAATGAGGAATGGAAAATAAATGCTGCCCTGCCCAGTGACAGCCTCATCCCACAAATGAGTAATAAGAATAACATTCCCCATATAGGGTTAAAGACAGTTCATTATCACCTTCGCAACTGCAGGATATCCCAAAACACTTTGCAGTCAGTGATGTACTCCTTGAAATATCATCACCGTTTTAACCAGAATCCACAAACAGTGTTCACAATTATCACCGGATCTGATCATGTAAACTGGGAGCCAGTATTGCTGCAGACAGGTGATACACATGGTTAGTTCAGTTAGTTGGCTGGTTGGTTTGTGATGCAGAATGATACCTACAGCATGGGTTTAGTTCGTGCACCAGCTGAAAAATCTTCTCAATCTTCTCACCCTCTCCCTCGCCTGAGGCATGGTGACCATCAGATTCAACTACCATCAGTCGTCTCTCACTCTCTAATGAGAGAGAGCCCAATGGTGACTTTACCTTTTACAATGCAGTGAAATGAAGAAAGGCAGTCACTTTTGGTGAGAACAAGCTCAGAAAGGGGATCAGATTCCCTCAGAATTTCAACAGCCCAGTCTCACTCCCACACTTGAGTTGAGAATGAACAAAACAGATGATGCTGGAGAAACTCAGCAGATCTGACAACATCTGTGGAGAGAGAGAGAGATAGAGTTAATGGTTCATGTTGAAAAACATTGAACACATGTAGAATAAGGGATAGTTTACATATGAGACACACGGACTGGGTTTCACTTAGATGCACCATCTGCTGGCCCCTGGAAGCCACAACTGGCCCAATGGTGGGCAGGCAATGGTGACAGCATGGTACTGCCACTGGACTAGGAATCCAGAGAGCCAGGCTAATGCTCACGTGACGTGGGTTCAAATCCCGATGGGAGCTCATGGAATTTGGAAGCTATTTAATCAATCTGGAATAGAAAGGTAGGGGGAGTAGGTGGCCCTGTGAACAAAAAGGCCACATGGAAGGATGAGTCCCTAGGATCCTGCAGGGAGATGCAGCAGAACCCAAACAAAGCAAATTCCTAGCAATAGGAATTCTCATCAGTGTTCTCCTGCACCCTGCCTCATTGAACTTTGTCTGTGAACTCACTTCCAGTGAGTCAATGAACTATTCTTTATCCCCAACCTGACTGCAGCCTTCTTGTGCCTGGTGCTATCCTCCACGACAGAGCCAGTGTCTGCCAGTATTAGACCAAGTGAATCTTCAATGTTGTGCTGTTGGTCTTCCTCTGTCTCCCCTATGGGAACTGCTGTGGCTGGGCGGGAATTTGCAATTGAAAGCTAGGCTCAGAGATAGTGCCCGTGAGACAATCCAGAATTTGATAGAAT